CTGACTTTCTTTATTTAATTATTTATCATAGAGATTTATATACATAAATAAATAATAAATACAACTATTGAATAATTGATAAAATATTCGTTTGTATGTTTTGTTAATAGATCTTGTCCTTAACTCTTATTTCGATCACTCCTATACAAACTATTGAATAATTGATAAAATGTTCGTTAATATATTTTGCAAGCTTCATAGATCTTGTCCTTAATGCTTACTTCGATCTTAATCTTTATTATCATACTCAAAAAAGATGATTCGTTGTTGTCGTTTGTTATTTGTTGCTACTGATATTATTGTTTAATGTTGCTATAACAACTACTTATTGATGGATATTCGTAATAATCATTCATCAAAAAATTTTCCCCGCCGCAATATTACGTCCGTAAATTTTAATATGTAAAGATGTAAAATTTGCATAAAAAATTATGTAATATTTACACTCAATGTAATAATTGCATAATTTTTGTATGCATGTTTGCATAATATTACAGGCCCGCCGTAAACTTACATAAATAGTGTAATAATTATGTAAATCCGCATCAGAAAAATTTCTGATGTTAATGAAACTTTAATCAATATAAAGTCAGAAATATAAAACAATCACTAATAAAATACCTTTTAGTTTTTGCCGAATTCCATCTACATAAATTCCTCATGACTATTAAATTTCTATAAAATAGTTTTTCGCGAAACTCTTTAAAACTTATTAACCATACCTCCCATAAAGTAATGACCGTATGAAAGCTTAAAGTATCTTACACCTTCTCATTCATTATCAAGTCTTTTAAAGCGATATTGAGAAATAATCTGAGCTTTGAAGTGAAAAAGTAATACCATTTTTGAACAGCCATTAATTCATCTAGAAAATACCTTTTGATATGAAGAGTATTCATTAGAAAGTTTTAATGGAATATTTTTATTTTACAACGAAGTTCGAGTTTATTATAAAAATAACGAGATATTTTAAAAAAACTTCATGTGACACGAATTTCGAATTTATTCACATATTAATATAGAAAAGCAGTCTCAGGGATATGACACACGACTATTGATATGTTTTTTCTTATTATTATGATATTAATACAGAAAAATTGCGAATTTCCATATATTTTACAATTTTTTTCCAGAATAATTCCGTATCTTTTATAATAATCATTTTCCATAGTAATAGCAATAAAAATTGTAATTCATACGGAATTTCCGTATATAAATTTCTATAGTAATAGATCAAATATACGTAATTTCAGTTAATTTGATACGTTTTTTTAAATAAAACCTCGTGTATGGAAAATTGCGAATTTCTGTATATTTTAATTTTACAATTTTTTCCTGAATAAATCCGTATCTTTTATAATAATAATAATAACTAATAATAATCATTTCATAGCAATAAAAATTATAATTTATAAGAAATTTCCGTATGCAAATTTTTTATAGGGGAAGTAAGTGTTAAAGTCAAGATTTATTTACAAATCAAGTTTCCAAAATGAACGTTTATTATTATAGGTGGGTTTGATCAAAGTAAGTCTTAAAGTCGAGATTTACGAAGCTGTTTGTAAAATATATTTAATTAACGTTTTATTATTATCAATTATTCAATAACTATATAGGCGGATTTGATTAGTCAAGATCTATATAATTAGATTGTTAATAGTTAATAATGGAATTTATTACATGCAAAAAAAATTTTTTTGAGTTGTAAATTTTGTTTGAATTTTTCATAGATCGTCCATATTTCCTCTTGATCGTATATCTTAAATTGGTCACGTTTACAATCATTTTCGAGAGATATGGTCAGGAGAAGAGTTAGGAAGAGAGTTATTCAACCAAGTCGAAAACCAACTCTTTAAATACATTTTCGAGTAGTACAATTTAATCTATTAGACTATTTCAAATGGTTGCTTCCAACTTCTTAAATTCGAACCATTTGTTAACGAAACAACTGTTGGTGAAGTGATTGTTGACAAAATGAATCAATGTTTTATATTAACGTTTATTTTTTTACATTATCAAATTCACAATTTTGATTGGTCGATCAACAATTGCGTGGGTCAAAATGTAAATGATTGAATCAATTGAATCATGTATTTTTATTATTGTGATGCAATGAAACACTTGGCGCAGTGGTATTTTTATTTTTCAACCATCTTGTATAATGTTGTATAATGATAAATGATTTCATGGTTTGAATGTGCTCATTTTCTGTAAACTTAATTACTTGAAGATGGACAGGGACATAGAAAGTTGAATTCCGTGCACTGAAATGCCTGAGAGGAATTTCTCTACGAAAAAAACGAAAAAAAAATGTGGGGATGGCCATCCTATTTGTATTTTTTTGAATTGATAAAATAGACTATTATTGTCGTGACAGTGATGTTGTTGTGTGAGTAAAAGACACGAAGCTCACTGTCACGTTTTCGTTTAAAAACTTGTTAATATTAATATTATTATTGCCGATTTCTCCCATTTATGGATTGATCGTAGACTATCACGTGATCGGGATTTTTTCAAATCTGTTGTTGAGGCGTAGTAAGTTGCGGGATTAAGTGCCTTGCACTATAAATAAAAAAATTTTTGCACATTAATATGCAATCAATAATAATAATAAATAATTATTATTTGGCAATCACATCCAAATACAATACAATTTCTTAAATAGGAATAAACACACTGGTCTTGGGAAATTCTTGCTCCTAGTAAAAAAAAAATGAATGGTATTTTTTCTTACACAGAAAATAACTATTTTAAAAATATGTAGTATTTTTTACATCATGATTTAATATTTTGCTTTATAATAAAATAATAGCTAAATTCTATAAAGGTAAATAAATATTTTACAACACAAAATAAACATCATCTAATTAAATAATTTGTTTTTTTATTTCTTTATAATAACCAGGGGGTAAGTATTATATTATAATTTAACTTTTACAACACAAAATAAACATCATCTAATTAAATAATTTGTTTTTTTATATCATAGAGAGTAAGTATTACATTATAATTATAATTTAACTTTTACAACACAAAATAAACATCATATAATTAAATAATTTGTTTTTTTATTTTATAGAGAGTAAGTATTATATTATAAATTAACTTTTTCAACACAAAATAAACATCATATAATTAATTAATTTGTTTTTTTATTTCATAGAGTGTAAGTATTATATTATAATTTAACTTTTACAACACAAAATAAATATCACCTAATTGAATAATTTGTTTTTTTATTCTTTATAATAACCAGTTGGTAAGTATTATATTATGATTTAACTTTTACAACACAAAATAAACTTCATCTAATTAAATAATTTTTTTTTTATTTCTTTATAATAACCAGATTGTAAATATTATATTATAATTTAACTTTTAGAGCACAAAATAAACATCATCTAATTAAATAATTTGCTTTTTTATTTCTTTATAATAACCAGTTGGTAAGTGTTATATTATAATTTAACTTTTACAACATAAAATAAACTTCATCTAATTAAATAATTTTTTATTTTATTTCATAGAGCGTAAGTATTACATTATAATTTAACTTTTACAACACAAAATAAACATCATCTAATTAAATAATTTGTTTTTTTATTTCATAGAGTGTAAGTATTATATTATAATTTAACTTTTACAACACAAAATAAACTTCATCTAATTAAATAATTTGTTTTTTTATTTCTTTATAATAACCAGGGTGTAAGTATTATATTATAATTTAACTTTTACAACACAACATAAACATCATCTAATTAAATAATTTGTTTTTTTATTTCATAGACCATAAGTATTATATTATAATTTAACCTTACAACACAAAATAAACATCATCTAATTAAATAATTTGTTTTTTTATTTTTTATAATAACCAGGGGGTAAGTAATATATTATAATTTAACTTTTACAACACAAAATAAAACATAATCTAATTAAATAATTTGTTTTTTTATTTCTTTATAATAACCAGAGTGTAAGTATTATATTATAATTTAACTTTACAACACAAAGTAAACATCATCTAATTAAATATTTTGTTTTTTATTTCTTTATAATAATCAGTTTGTAAGTATCATATTATAATTTAACTTTTACAACACAAAATAAACATCATCTAATAAGTAAATTTATTTTTTATTTCTTTATAACCAGATTGTAAGTATTATTATAAATTAATTTTTATAACAACTAAATAAAATTAACTTTTATTTCTTTATAATAACCAGCTGGTAAGTATTAATTATATTGTATTATAAATCAATTTTTGTAATTTTTATATTTAATTAATAAGTTTATTTTTATTTATTTATAATAACCAGCTGGTAAGTAGTGTATTATAAATTAACACAAAAATAAATTTTATTAAAACATCATCTAATAAATCTTTTTTATAATAACCAGGGAGTAAG